TGTAATTTATGTAGTGCATATATGAATTGACCACTTGGCAGAGGTCAGATGACAGAAGGGTTAATGTAAAGGGGGCAGATGGTTTACCATATGGATTGATCCTTTCATTAATCAAAGGTTCTGCAAGGTGTGAGAAGTCACACATAAGTGGCCTGGAAGTCTGGTTTAAATATAAACTAACTCTCTAAATTGTCATATGTCTAGATTCCCTCTTAGATAGTGGTCCTTTGATATGTTAATGACCATTAGCCTTGTGTTCCAGTATCATATCCAAAAGAAACATTAATATTTACCCACAGATTAAAAGAATCACGTTACCTGAAGAGACTAATTAGTGTTTTGCAATAACCTTGATATTATGTTAAGTTGTATTTGGTTGGTTTTTATTATTAAGTTACCTGGGGAACCAAGGCACCCCATTTCTAAATTGTCTTGGTGGTGGCAGTGTTAAGATAGTAATATATGTATTATTATGCTTAAGTGTGGGTGGTGTTAAGGGGGATTTTATCATTATTTCCGGTCTAGTGCAGACAGGGCCGCCATCAGAAATAACACAGCTCAAGGTCTGGGCCCCCCTTCAAGCCCGCCTCCAAATCCCGCCCACAGGAATACACACACACTAACAGATACAAATACTGAAACAGACATACACACATGCATAGGGAGATACTGACACACACACATACATACTGACAAACATACATATACATACACATACTGCATACTGATATATACATACATACTGACAGGCATACATACAGACACACACTGGCATACACGCACTGGCATACATACACGCATACACTGGCATTCATGCACTTACATACACACATACACTGGCATACATACACACACATACACTGGCATGCATACATACACTGGCATACACACACTGGTATACATACACTGGCATACACACATACACTGACACACATTCCCCTGCATACATACACACATACACTGACACACATACACTGGCATACACACTGGCATACATAAACACTGGCACACATACACTGGCATACACACACACATACACTGGCATACACACACACACATACACACACATACACTGGCATACATACACTGGCATACACACACTGGCATACACACACTGGCATACATACACACATGCACTGGCATACATACACATATACACTGACACACATACACACACTGACACACATACACTGACATATACACACACTGGCATACACACACACTGGCATACACACACTGGCATACATACATACACACACTGGCATACATACACTGGCATACATACACACATACACTGGCATACATACACACATACACTGGCATACATACCCACACTGGCATACATACATACACTGGCATACAGACACACTGACATACATACACTGGCATACACACACTGGCATCCACATACACACACTGGCATACATACACACATACATACACTGGCATACACACACTGGCATACATACATACACACACTGGCATACACACACTGACATACATACACTGGCATACACATACATACACACACTGGCATACACACATACATACACACACTGACATACATACACTGGCATACACACATACATACACACTGGCATACACACTGGCATACACACATACATACACTGGCATATATACATACACTGGCATACACACTGGCATACATACACACACTGGCATACACACACTGGCATACATATACACACACTGGCATACACACACTGGCATACACACATACATACACACACTGACATACATACACTGGCATACACACATACATACACACTGGCATACACACACTGGCATACATATACACACTGGCATACATACATACACTGGCATACATACATACACACACTGACATACACACACTGGCATACACACATACATACACTGGCATACACACATACATACACACACTGACATACATACACTGGCATACACACATACATACACTGACATACATACACTGGCATACATAAACTGGTATACACACACTGACATACATACATACACACACTGGCATACATACACACACACTGGCATACACACATACATACACACACTGACATACACACACTGGCATACATACACTGGCATACATACACACATACATACACACACACACACACTGACATACATACACTGGCATACATACACACATACATACACACACTGACATACATACACTGGCATACATACATACAGGGCCGCCATCAGGGCATGACAACCGTGACAATTGTCACGGGCCCGGCGACCCTGGGGGGCCCGGCCACCCGGGCCCCACGTGGATCAGCGGAACTGCCGCCGGTGCATCTGCCCCGGGGCCCACACGCTGATGGGGCCCATCAGGTGGCCCAATCATTTAGGGCCACCCAATGGGCCCTATTATCTTCAGGGGCCCGATCAGCGCTGTAATAGCGCGACCGGGCCCCTTTAAAAAAAAAAATGCAGCCGGAAGCAAGTGCTGCTGGGGGGAAGTGACGTCCGGTCACTTCCTCCCACTTTACTCCGCGCGGGAAGTAGGACGCAGCCTGAGGAGAGGCAGCCGATGCCCATCATCCCCAGCCACCTTCCTGTGACGAAATGGTAAGGAAGAGAGGAGGGTGGCTGGGGATGAGGTGTATGCCAGTGTGTGTATGCCTATGTATGTATGCAAGTGTGTGTATGTATGTGTGTATGCCAGTGTGTGTATGCCAGTGTGTGTATGCCAGTGTGTGTATGTATGTCAGTGTATGTATGCAGGGCCGCCATCAGAAATTTTGGGGCCCCTAACACAGCTCAAGGTCTG